TCACAGTTCCAAAGGACTCATGGAAAAAAATGCTATCCACCTACAGATAGAGAACTAATGGACTCAGAGTACTGATTGAAATGTGTGTGTGTGTGTGTGTGTGTGTGTGTGTGTGTGTGTGTGTGTGTTTTCTCTTTCTTTTTCTCCCTTTGGTGTGGGGTCCAGGGGGAAACATGGCTAATGCGAAACTTTGTTTTGCGTGACTACCTGTTTGTAATGGATTTAGCATTTCTTGTCAAATTGGGATTGGGGAGAAGGGAAAGGAGAGAATCTGGAACTGAAAATTAAGTGAATTTCAGTGGAAAAAATAATAGACCTTTCTTTCAGAGAGAAATTTGGTGTCATTAAAAGAAGCTTGTAACTTCTTGAATCCAGCTTGCTTTACTTCCTGCTTACTTAATTATAGGTCCCAGTTCATTGTCCATTTACAATATCTTTCTGAGCTGTATATTGATGAAAGAGCTCTATAAAATATTTGTGTGTCTATCTATCTAGTTGTGTGTATACATATATTTTATATATATCAAAACAGATCTTGCATTCTCTAACTCAGTTGCGTGATGGTAGAGAGATAATCAACTGGGCAGTATTCCTTTTGAAAGTCCTACTTTCCTTGTAATACCTACTTGAGGTATGTCGTGTGTACATGTTTATATTAATATCATAAAAGTTTTATTCGTATGGAAAAGTAGGCAAAAAGGTTGGTATTGAAATCCCTCACAGAGGTGTTACCTCCACCATAGACCTTCTCTGTGTACACACCAGCTGGTCTAGCCTAATAGCTTTTCTCACCTGTATTCTCTTCAGTGCCAATTCTACCTCTTCTACAAGTTCATGTGGGGCTCTGATACTATAATCCTAGTGTGGCTTCATTGTTCTTGATTGTGAAAAGAGGATCATAAAAATCTTTGTAAATCTCTTCCATCTTTCTTCCATTTGCCTTTCTCCATCCTTCATGTCCTGAGGATGATTTTGCTTAGTTTGGTCTCTTAAGTTTTCTTTAAACAACCTAAAACTTTCCTTTGCTTCTCTCTTTTTATGAGATTATAGTGCAGTACTTATCATTACCTTGCACTATCCTTTAAGATTTTCAAAAGAAGTTTATGTTGTAAAGAGAGGTTCTTAGGTTGGAGACTGTAGACCCCTCAGGGATCTATGAATAGATTTCAAGATGTCTGTAACCTTGAATGGGTATAAAATTACAGCTTTATTTTCACTAACCTTTGGTTTCCTTTGTAATCCTACGTGTTTAATTTTATGCATTTAAAAACATTATTTTGAAAAAAGGGGCTGTGGCTTCACCAGATTGCCGGAGAGGTTCATGACACAGCAAAGGTTAAATTCAGTGTAAACTGAATCCTCTGGCTGCCTTATCTCTCGCTTTGGCAAGTAAGTCATAGTGTTTGCTGGTTATGAATGTTTCTAGACTTTTGTGTTCTCATTATGACAGTTGATTCACGTTAAGTTATACTTCTTTATGAAATTATTATAATTGGTATGATTTCCTCTCCATCCATATCACATATTTTTGGATCAATTACAAATGAATACAACCAAGTCAGAGTTGTTTTAATTGCATGACATGTTTTCTTAATATTTTTATTCATCTCCACAACATCTCTTACATATGTCCCTTTTCTCCATTCACATAATCATCATGCTAGACAGTCCCTCATCATCTCTCATCTACATCTGTTTGCAATGTTCTCCTCATTTGGCTTCCTGACTTAAATCTCTCCGCACTCCAGTTTGTTTCCGACAGGACTGCCAACCTGACTTTTTTTGAAGTGGAGGTCTAATAATGTCACCTCTTGCCTGGACTGTTATAATATCCTGATAATTAGTCTCTCAGCTTCAGATATCTCCCTACTTCTACTTTATCCTCCAATCAGCTGCCAAAGTGATATTCCAGAAATACAAGTTTGAATATGTTACTCTGTATTTAATACAATCTTGTGGTTCCTTATTACATTTGCCTTTGTTCTGACTCTCCCACATTCTTGAAATGCTTTTCTTCCCACCTCCCTTTCTCCGTACCTTCCTCCCTCATTTCTGCCTCTTAGAATCTCTAACTTCTTTAAAGACTCTATTTAATTGTTGTGGTTTTTATCATTATTATTGAGATTATAGTAAATCAGGTGAAACAAGTTATATACATATAAATAGATATAAATTACGTATCAAGTAAATACAAAATAATTTGGATGGGGGCAAGGTAGATAGTCACTGTCTCATGTCAGAAGTGGCTGCTTGAAATGAACTTTGAATGGAATGGGATTCCAGAAGTCAGGTAAAAAATGTCATTCCTGATGTTAGTCAGTTAACAAGTATTTATTAAGCAATTATATGCCAGTCACTATGCTAAGAGTGGAGATAGAAAGGGAAAAACATAGGCACTGCCCTCAAGAAGCTCACATTCTAATGGGAAACACAACAGGCAAAAAATTGTACACACAAGATGTACATTATCTCTCAGAGGGAATGTACTAGCAGTGGTGGGGAGTGGAAGGAAGATTGAGAAAGACCTTTTACTGAAGGTGGAATTTGAACAGAGTCTTGAAGCCAGGGAAGTGAGGAGACAGAGGTGAGGAGGGAAGACATTCCAGGCATATCCAGGAGATAGCCAGGGAAGAGGCTGAGAGTTGGGAGATAGAGTATCCTGTAAGAAAAATGTTAAGAAAGGCAGTGTTTCTGAATTATAGTGTACATGGAAAAGAGGGAGTAAGATAAAGACTAGAAAGGTAGGAAAGGGTCATTGTTGTGAAGAGCTTTCAAGGCCAAACACAGTATTTTTTATTTGATTCTGGAGCTACTGGAATTCATTGAATGGGGACATTTTCAGACCTACACTTTTTGGAGATTATTTTGGCAGCTGTGTAGAAAGTGCACTGAAGTGAGGAGAGATAAGATATAGAGAGACCAACCAGCTCTCTAGGTGTGAGGTTTTGAGGGCCGGTACTATGATAGTGTCATAAGAGTTAAGGAGAGTATATAAGGGATATGAAAGTAGAAATAACAAGACTTAGTTAACAGATTGTATATTTGGAATTAAAATGAATGAGGAGTTGAAGATAACACTGACATTGCAAACCTGGGAGACTGGGAGGATGCCGGTACTCTTGACAGTAAATGGGAAGTTTGGAAAAGAGGAGGGTTTTGGGGAAAAGATAATGAGTTCTGTTTTGGATATGTAGAGTCTAAGAATATCATGTATGGGACATCAAGTTCAAGATGTCTAGTTGACAGTTGGAAATTGGAGTTCAAGAAAGAGATTAGGGCTGGCTAAATAGATTTGAACCCATGGGAGCTGATGAGACCATTAAGTGATATAGTAATAGAGGAAGAAGAAAAGATGGCCTAGGATTCAAATAGCTTATTAGACTCAGTCTCCATTTACTTTGGAAATGAACCAATTAAGCAACTTATACTAACACCATGGAGGGATGGCAAGATTCTAAATCTCTTGCTTCAGTGTGGTATGACTTTAGTTCTTCAGCTACAGGGTAATCCTTACCATCTTAGTAAGAATCCTTTTCATTCTTTGAGAAGTGAATCTGTTAAGGGAATCTCTCTCTGTGAGATCTTGAACTCAGGATCACCCCTGAAGTGTCACCTCAAAGGCTGGAATTCTCGGAATTGTTAATCTGACTCGTGCTTGGGAAATGAAATAGAAAAAGATAGTGTATGTCCTATGAAATCACGTTTTTGTGTTACCTTTGGGCACACAATAAAACCAATTCTTTGTTGGCCTTTCCAGGGAGAATCTGTGAGTTATTGCATTTAGCTGAAACTTCCATTTCTTTCAAGCATGTGGGTGAGCTAATACAAAGGCAAAGGTAATAAGGAGTCAGTGGAGTGTATTAAATAGGCAAGTAACGTATTCATACTTGTCGCCCTCTGGAAGATCACTTTGGCTGCTGATTGAAGGATAGACTGGAAGTAGGGAGATACTTGAGGCAGGGAGACCAACCATCAGGATATGTTGTAGTAGTCCAGGCAAGAAGTGATAAGCAAGGAGGGTCAGTGATAAAAAAAAAAAAAAAAGATGCTAATCCATCAAAATATTTACAGCATCTTTTTTGTCATAGCAAAGAACTAGAAACAAAACAGATGTCGATTGGTTAGGGGATGGTTAAGCAAGTTTTGGTACATGAATATAATGGAATATTATTACTCTGTGATAAATGATTAATGTGATGATTCCCATGAAGCGTGGGAAGACTTCCAAACTGATGCAAAGTGAAATAAGCAGATCAGGAAAACAATATAAATGTTCACTACAGCATTGTAGTTGGAAAGAATAACAAAAGAATAAAAACTTAATGCTGTAAAATTATGACCAGGCTTGGCCCCAAAAAAGAGATATGAGAAGGTGCCCCTACCTTTTTTGTAGTTATGGGAGACAATGGAAGTGGAATGCTACATATAATGTTAGATTATTTTCAATGTGCTGATTAGTTTCACTGAACTGTTTTTCTTTTCTTTTTAATTTTTTGTTATGAGGAATAACTGGGAATATGGATTAATTGGAAAATATGTGATTTAAATAAGATCAACACAATTTTATTTTCAAAATTCCTTTTTTTTTTTCTAAAAAACCTTAATGATTGGATTAGGTGGTTGGTTTTTTTTTTAAATCATATCCTAACTTTTCAGTTTGTCATAGATGGTAACATACTCTCTGTCCTTTTATGCCACTATCAGGGACAGTATACCAGCCTGACTAATCTGTAGGTCTGACCCAAAATAGCAAGTTTTATTTTATTGTTCACTTCAGCATATGTTTATTAGATGTTTTTATAATGTGGATAGCATTTGTTACCTTTATGTATTACTTTCCTATTTATTATTGTGGAATAGCACAGTATGTCTTCTGAGTTGGATTAAACAATTAAGTTGGAGACAATGCCCTTTTCTTCAGCTGAGGGACAAAATCATGGTACCAATAAAGTAAAACTAAGATAATATTTCACTGATATAAATTTGCTTTTCTTTTCAAGGACTACTACTCCAGGAGAGACTAAACTTCTGGCTTCTGAAATCTATGACATCCTTCAGTCATCCAACATGGCAGATACTGGCAGTGTCAATGAAATGAACTCACGTCGAAGGAAAGCTCAGTTTTTTCTCGGGACTACGAACAAGCGTGCCAAAACAGTGGTTTTGCATATAGATGGCCTTGATGATTCTGTAAGTGTCCTAAAAACACATGAATTACAAATAAGATTGCATTTTTTCATTTAAGCTCATTGTTATTGTTTGTTCTCAAAGAGGACTATGATGGTCAGGAAGGCGATGTCTTGATTTGCCAGTGAATTGGATGTAAGTGAGAGAGGGCTATGCAAGAGCATCAGCCTCACTGTCTCTTTCAGAGCCATCTGGGTCCAGTAGCCAGATACAGATCAGGAAGACTGGAGATGGCTCTGGATGCAGTGGGAGACCTTGGCCTTTGTAAGCTAAGGTCTTTCCCAGGTCTCAGTTTGTCTGAGGCAGCTGCCATTCAGTGATTAAGGCCAGGTGAGAAATGAGGCAGAGAATGGCCTCCTTACCTAGTGAGAAAAAAAAAAAATCATCGTGGGAGAGGAAGACCCTCAGGGTTTCTGGCCAAAACAGAAACAACTGACATTTATACTCACTCTGAGCCATCAGAACCCAAACAGTGACCGTGTGAGATTTGGGCTGGGACCTATTGTTGGCCACTCAAAGAGAACTAGAGTGATTTGGGCTTAAGGCATGGTCCTTAAAAAAGAAATATAGCCCATAAACCCCAAGATGTCTTGTGAGGTTTTAGTGATCAGAATTTATGTACCTTTGGGCAGACCATCTGCTGGTAAAGGTATGATTCCCTCTGTGGACAGAGAGAGAGAGAAGGAAGGAAGAAGCTGTGTTGTCCACTTGGAACTGTACAGTTGGGTCCCCAGTGAGACAACTACTGCTACTCACAGATTGTTGTTTGTCCTTTGTTCTTGAAGAAGACCATGACATCAGGAAGGTAATGTCATGACTTGCAAGTGAATTGGATTTAAGCGAGGCAGAGCTGTGCAAAGTCACCAGCCTTCCTCTCTTCTCCTGAGCCATCTGGGTCCACTGACAAGATCAGTCTTAATCATATACCTGTAATGAAGCTTTAAGTCTTCTTGATCCTTTGTTAGAGAAACCAACTCTTTTTGTATTAGTGTTATAGTACAGTGGGGGGAATGCAGCGTGGTAGATGGGATTTCATTACATCTCAACCAAAAAATATTTATTTATTAAGCATCTACTGTGTACCAGGTCAGTTTCCATCTTCTAGAAGGTTTCATATTAAAAAATGCTCTAAATCACTATTGATCAGAGAAATGCAAATTAAAACAGCTCTGGAGTACCACATCACATCCATCAGATTGGCTAACATGACAGAACAGTAAAATGATAAATGTTGGAGAAGTTGTGGGAAAATTGGAACACTGTTGCATTGTTGTGAACTGATCTAACCATTCTGGAGAACAATTTGGAACTTTAGCCAAAGGACTATAAAACTCTTCATACCTTATGGTCCAGCAATATCACTACTAGGTCTGTATCCCAAAGAAATCATAAAAAAGGAAAAAGACCCACACGTACAAAAATATTTCTAGCAGGTTTTTTTCTGGTGGCCAAGAATTGGAAATTGAGGGTATGCCCATCAATTGGAGAATGGCTGAACAAATTGTGGTATATGAATGTAATGGAATGCTATTGTGCTATAAGAAGTGATGAGCAAGCGGATTTCATAAACACCTGGAAAGACTTGCATGAACTGATGCTGAGTGAAGTGAGCAGAACCAGGAGAGTGTTGTACACAGTAACAATAACATTGTGTGGTGATCAACTATGATAGACTTAGCTTTTCTCAGCAATACAGTGCTCTAAGATAATTCCTAAAGACTTATGATGGAAAATGTTATCCATATCCAGAAAAAAAACTATGGAGTCTGAATACAGATCGAAGCATGCTATTTTCTCTTTTCTTTGTTGTTTTTTGTTTTTTCTTTCTCATGTTTTTTCACTTTTGTTCTGATACTTATTTCACAATATCACTAATATGGAAATATGTTTAATATGGTCATACATGTATAGTATATATCTGATTGCATGCTGTCTTGGGAAGGGGGGAGTAGAGGGAGGAGGGGAAAATTTAGAACTTAAAATCTTATAGAAGCAAATGTTGAAAACTAAAAATAAGTAAATTTTTTAAAAAAAGGTTATATCTGAAATGGAAAGACAGTATGTCCATATATAGGTGTATGCAAAATATAGACAAAATAACTGTGAGGTTGGAGGATGGAATGCTAACACCTGAGGGAATCAAGAAAGGACTCATGACAAAGGCAGCTCTTGGTCTGAGTCTTGAAGGAAACCAGGGATTCCAAGAATGGAAGTCGGGAGGGAACGCATTCCAGCAGTGGGAGACACCCAGTAGTGCAAAGGTACAAAGATGGAAGATGAAGTAACATTTGAGGAAAAGAAACAAGAAGTCCAGTAAAACTACCAGGGGTAGGGAACCTGTGGCCTTGGGGCCACATGTGGCCCTCTAGGTCCTCAAGTGCGGCCTTTTGAGTGAATCCAAACTTCACAGAATAGATCCCCTTAATAAAAGGATCTGTTCTGTAAAACTTGGACTCAGTCAAAAGGCCACACCCAAAGACCTAGAAGGCCACATGTGACCTCAAGGCTGCAGGTTCTCCACTACACTAGACTGTAGATTGCATGGAGGGGAGTAATGTGTAAGAAGGCTGGAAAGATAGGAAGGAATGAGGTTGTAAAAAGTTTTAAATGCCTTACTGTGGAGTTTATATTTGATTCTAGGGAACCAATGGCGTTTGACTAGTGGGAGACTTGTGCTTTAGGAAAATCACTTGACTCACTCTGTGGAGGATGGTTTGGGATGGAGAGAGACTTGAGATAGGGAAACCATTTAGGAGGCTGTTGCAGTAATCTGGGTCAGAGAAGATGAAGGCCTGAACCAAACTGGTGGCTAAGTGGATAAAAGAGAATATTTGTGAGAGATGTTAGAGAGATAAAAATGACAATATTTGTAAACTGATTGGTATGAGTGAAAATGAAAATTTGAGGATGAGACATATCACAGCTGCAGACTTGGTGACCACAAGAATGGCAGTGCCTCTGGGCAAAAATAGAGAAATTTTAGAAAAGTGGTAAGTTTTGGGAAAATATAATGAATTCTTTTTTGAGCATGTTGAGTTTCTAGTGCCTACAGGACACCCATTTTGAAATGTCCAACATTCAGTCCTGCAAAACCAGATCTCAAGAGAGAAACTAGAGCTGGATATATAGATTTGGGAGTCATTGTAGTGCTAGATTCTTCATTGAAAAGTGAAATGAAGTCTTTCTGGAACATGTTAATTAGGATGGTTTCTTCAACTGATTCTCCTGAAACAATTATCCAAGGTTTTATTCACCTTATTATTGCTAATAATTTAATGGACCATTCTTGCACTACAGAGTTCTTTCCAGATCTGCCTACATGTCAGCTCTGTGTTCGTTTTGTTAATTTCAAATAACAAAATGTCATTATTTCTCTTGGTATATTTTTGTGGTTCAAGAAAAGAGAGTATTATTAGGTTAAGTATAATGCTTCATTTTATACCAGTATTTATGGATTTAAAAAATTTTTTTCAATTATTTATTTTTAGTTTTTAACATTCACTTCCATAAGATTTTGAGTTTTAAATTTTCTCTGCCTCTTCTCCCCGCTTCCCAAGATGGTGTGCAGTCTGATGTAGGTTCTACTTATACATTCATATTAAACATGCATTAGTCATGATGCAAAGAAGAACTAATGGCAGGAACCACAAGAAAAAAGAAACAAAACGAAACAACGAAAGAAAAGGAGAGCAAATAGTATGTTTCCATCCTCATAGTTCTTTCCCTGGATGTGGATAGCATTTTCCATTGTGAGTCTTTTGGAGTTGTCTAAGATCCTTGCATTGCAGTGAAGAGCTAAGTCTATCAAAATCAGTCATCACACAATGTGGCTGTTGTGTACAATGTTCTCCTGGTTTTGCTCATTTCACTCAGCATCAGTTCATATAATTTCCAGGTTTTTAAACAACTTACTGTAGGATTATGGTTCTTAATCCACTCTGTTTTATGGGAGAGTTCATCCCATTCATCTTCACAGTTATTATTACTATGTGTGTCTTTCTCGCCATCCTATTTCCCCCCCATTTATGCTTTTCTCTCTCCCTTCTCTCTTTCCCTCCTTAGTAGGGTTTAATTTTGACCACCGCCTCCCTGTCTGCCCTCCCTTATATCGGTCCCCTCCCTTTTCTTCCCCTTTACCTTTACTTTTTCTTCCCTTCCCGTTTCTTTCCTCTCCTGCTTTCTATAGGGTAAGTTAGATTTCTGTACCTGATTATGTTATTCCTTCTTTGAGCCAAATCTGGTGAGAGTAAGGTTTAAACAATGCTCATCTCCCTCTCTTCTTTCCCTCTACTGTAATAGGTTTTTCTGTCTTTTCATGTGATGTAATTTACCCTTGTCTGCCTCCTTCTTTCCTCTTCTCCCAGAACAATCCCTTTTCACCACCTAATTATATTTTTTATCTTCACATCAAAGTCAACTTATACCCACGCCTTTTGTCTTTGTATACCCCTTTTAAATGTTGCAATAATGATACAGTTATCAAGAGTTACAAGTGCTATCTTCCCTTGTAGAAATGTAAACAGTTTTCCCTTATTAATAACGTTGTTGTTGTTGTTGTTGTTGTTGTTTTTTCTTTCCTGTTTACCTTTTTATGCCTCTCTTGAGTCTTGTATTTGAACATCACATTTTCTGTTGAGCTCTGGTATTTTCATCAGGAAGGTTTGGAAGTTCCCTATTTCTGTGAATGTTCATCTCCTCCCTGAAAGATTATGCTCAGTTTTGGTAGGTAGTTGATCCTTGGTTGTAATCCAGACTTTGCCTTGTGGAATATCGTATTCCATGCCCTCCGATCTTTTAATGTAGAAGCTGCAAGGTCCTGTGTAATCCTGACTGTGGATCCATGCTATTTAAATTGTTTCTTTCTGGCTGCTTTCAGTATTTTCTCTTTGAGCTGCTAATTTTGGAATTTGGCTACAATATTCCTTGGCATTTTCAGTTTGGGATCTCTTTCAGGAGGTCATCATGGGTGGATTCTTTTGATGATTATTTTACCTTCTGGTTCT